ATAATTTTGCATTTCTTGACATTGAAGTTCATGAATTCATGAACTAAATTCCGAACACTCCACTGATGCAGACTATCCAGGTCCTGTTGAAACAATTCAAGATCACCAACCGTGTCAATGATTCTACAACATTTACAGTCATCAGCAAAAAGAGCAATAGTACTGCCAGGAAGTACTACTTCGGGAAGGTCACTAATAAATATAACAAAAAATAAAGGCCCTAATAAAGAGCCCTGAGGAACTCCAGATGAGACATCGGACCAGGAAGAGGATATACCATCCAGCACTACTCTCTGTCGGCAATTGCTTAAATAACTTTCACACCATTGTAATAATGAGCCAGTGATCCCAAAGTTGCACAACTTTTGCAACAAAACTGCATGGTTCACTTAGTCAAAGGCTTTGGAAAAGTCTAAAAAGACTACATCAACTTGTCTGCCTTTATCAAGGGCAGTAGCCCATTGATGATGGGTTAAAATCAGTTGAGTCTCACAGGATCTACCTGCCACTCAGTTAAAAATGGTGAGACATGATCATAGGTAGCAGAATGAACAATACGTTCTAAGCACTTGGCCGGGATTGGCAATAACGAGATAGATCTGTAGTTGGTAACAAGCCCCCTGCTATCTCCCTTATGAATTGGGGTAATATTGGCTGATTTCCATAAAGTGGGCATTTTCCCGGTTCTCACGGATAAATTAAACAAATGGGCAAGTGGAATAGAAAGCTCTTTTGCACAAGTACGTAAAACATGGGCTGGTAAGTTGTCCACACCAGGTGCCTTGTTTACATTGATCTTACTTAGAATTCCTTCAAGCTCTGGAGCTGTTGTTGTAACTTCAAATAACAAGTTCGGATTAACAACATCTGTGGCCAACAGTTTAACATCAGTAGTGGATTTAGAGTAGACTGAATGAAAAAACGCATTGAATAACTCCACTTTCGAATTCAAGTCTCTAGACCTGGTGTCTCCATAGATAACAGTTTCAGGAATTCGTTTTGTCTTAGATTTGATACGGCAGGACTTTTCCGCGGGTGGCGGGTGACGGGTAGCGGGTGGCAGGTGACGGGTAGCTTGTGGGGGGTGAGAGGTAGCGGGTGACGGGTGGCGGGTGGCGGGTTAAAAATATATATGAAAATAAAATATTTTATTATATAGACGCGAGTGTTTTACTTGAAAATATACCACTCGTAAAATTCATAAAAACTACATCCGGGACCCGAGTGGTTTATTTTCCATAATCTCACACGTGAGTTTATCGATGACGTAATTTCGGTAATTTCCCTCAAAAATTTGTAGGCGCTTGCGTCCTTTGAATTTTAATTACACATTTTTCAAAGCTTTACTCATATTTTGTCATTTGTAGAGCCCTATTCAGCTCAGTGTTATTTCTCAAGATGATTGTAAACAATGTCTTACATTGCTGTACTGTAAATTTGAGCCGTCACATTTACTTTTTGCATTGGCGAATAAAAATCTATTATTTTATCGATGCCTCTTTTTTTGTCTATATAATAAAAAGAACATTACACGGTGGCTTGAAGATATGAATTTTATTTTCTCGTGGCAAAAACAATATTTTACTCACTCGCTGCGCTCGTTCGTAAAATATTGTTTTGCCACTCGAAAATAAAATTCATATCTTCGCGCCACCGTGTAATATCCTAGCCTGCGAAAACATCCGTTTCTCCTCGCTCTTCGCCGATGGGGACGTTTCGCGAGGAGGAACGTCTGCGCTTCGGCGACAGAAATTCCATACTGATGACGTAAAATCTGTCCGGAATCCGGTCAGAAGCGCTGATTGGACAACGGAGTAGTTGCATTGTTTTAGCTATTGTTTACGAATGACAGACAAAAGACAAAAGGCCACAAAGGTCAAATGTAAACGCGAAGAATCTCTAACAAAACAGTCAATATTTGAGGAATATAGTCTTCTCTTGAAGAAGCATTTGAGTTTTGCTAGAGCTGTTTGGAAGATGAACACAACACTTTACCAAAATCGACCAGAAGACATGTAAAATTGAACAAATTTGTATTTGGAACCCCATGACTACCGGATTTATTATGTAAACATTGGTTTGCGTCATCAGTATGGAATTTCTGTCGCTGAGTCGCAGACGTTCCTCAACGCGAAACGTCCCCGTCGGCGAAGAGCGAGGAGAATCGGATGTTTTCGCGGGCTAGTAATATCCTCTATATAATAAAATATTATTATTGATAATGATACAACTGTATGTTGTAATTTTAAAATAATTTCAACGTTTATGTACTAGCTACTAGACTCCAAATAAAAGTATTGCCTTGTTTTGTTTTATCTGCTTACGCGGACTAAAAATGGAAAAAAAAACGAGAAATCATGCCTGTGAAAACAGTCACCTCTCCTTGCTCCGCACCGCAAGTAACGTTTCGTCACGCTACACGCTTTGTGTCAAATGAAAATGGGCTATGTCAAGCAAGACACATGGCACGTGTCGATCTTGTTTGTCTAGTTTGGTTTTTCTTCCACATCAAGACGAAAGATGATTGCACTTCCCCAACTGTTTAGCCGAGTTTATAACAGACTGCAAGAGATTCGGCCTCCCGTGCCGTAGCTCAGTTTTTGCCCTAGTATGCGGCATGATTGCCATCCTAATCAGTATTTTTAAGCAGTACTTAAAAAAGGCAGATCCTTTTTGTATATATATACAACGAGATCAATTCGCGCCCGAGACGCCACATGCGGCGAAAACGGTCCATGCTGTGTCAAAAACGTTCTTGCTCCTTCTCTGGTACGCATTAACATTGACAGCTTTGTTGCTTTAGTCTTACGAAAATTTCCTTGTTTTCTCGAAATAGACATTTTGTTCATTTTAAACTACAAGTCGGGAACCAAATTGACAAAGATTTATCCCACGGGCAATGCTATGTTTATCCCAACTTATAACAAAAGAACAAACGCACTTGTCAAAAATCTGAGACACTGTTCAAACATGTTGAGAAGAGAATGCGATCTTACTTGTCTGGTCGCAGGATAAATATTACTTTAATTTTTATGAGTTCCTCAAGCTATTTCGCGCATGCGATATCGTGTAGAATAATATCGCTAAAATATCGCTTTTTGTAATGTTTATTATTTGTTTTCTTTTTTTGTTTTCCCCTTTGTTTTTTTATTTTTTTATTTTTTACGGCCTGATCCACCACCCCCGACCCGTCACCCGCTACCCGCCTACCCGCTACCCGCCACCCGCGGAAAAGTCCTGCCGGATTTGATAGAATAGAATGCCCAGAAATGCTTGAGATTTTCCTGGAGTTTTCCAGACAGAGACTGAAGATACTGTTGATAGCTTGAATTAATAAGCTTCTTGGTCTTCCTTCTAAGATCCTTAAATTTCAGAAATAAATCGGCAGATCCATTAGTTTTCAAACGTTTCCAAAGTTTCTTCTTCTTTCTAATTAATTTCATAATTTCGTTATCNTACGCGGACTAAAAATGGAAAAAAAAACGAGAAATCATGCCTGTGAAAACAGTCACCTCTCCTTGCTCCGCACCGCAAGTAACGTTTCGTCACGCTACACGCTTTGTGTCAAATGAAAATGGGCTATGTCAAGCAAGACACATGGCACGTGTCGATCTTGTTTGTCTAGTTTGGTTTTTCTTCCACATCAAGACGAAAGATGATTGCACTTCCCCAACTGTTTAGCCGAGTTTATAACAGACTGCAAGAGATTCGGCCTCCCGTGCCGTAGCTCAGTTTTTGCCCTAGTATGCGGCATGATTGCCATCCTAATCAGTATTTTTAAGCAGTACTTAAAAAAGGCAGATCCTTTTTGTATATATATACAACGAGATCAATTCGCGCCCGAGACGCCACATGCGGCGAAAACGGTCCATGCTGTGTCAAAAACGTTCTTGCTCCTTCTCTGGTACGCATTAACATTGACAGCTTTGTTGCTTTAGTCTTACGAAAATTTCCTTGTTTTCTCGAAATAGACATTTTGTTCATTTTAAACTACAAGTCGGGAACCAAATTGACAAAGATTTATCCCACGGGCAATGCTATGTTTATCCCAACTTATAACAAAAGAACAAACGCACTTGTCAAAAATCTGAGACACTGTTCAAACATGTTGAGAAGAGAATGCGATCTTACTTGTCTGGTCGCAGGATAAATATTACTTTAATTTTTATGAGTTCCTCAAGCTATTTCGCGCATGCGATATCGTGTAGAATAATATCGCTAAAATATCGCTTTTTGTAATGTTTATTATTTGTTTTCTTTTTTTGTTTTCCCCTTTGTTTTTTTATTTTTTTATTTTTTACGGCCTGATCCACCACCCCCGACCCGTCACCCGCTACCCGCCTACCCGCTACCCGCCACCCGCGGAAAAGTCCTGCCGGATTTGATAGAATAGAATGCCCAGAAATGCTTGAGATTTTCCTGGAGTTTTCCAGACAGAGACTGAAGATACTGTTGATAGCTTGAATTAATAAGCTTCTTGGTCTTCCTTCTAAGATCCTTAAATTTCAGAAATAAATCGGCAGATCCATTAGTTTTCAAACGTTTCCAAAGTTTCTTCTTCTTTCTAATTAATTTCATAATTTCGTTATCAATCCAAGGAGGCCTAGAACGTCGTTTCAGAGTTCTTTGTGGTATGTGATGGTTAATTGCACGAAATAACATATCCTGAAATTTATCTAAACTTGTATCAATACTAGTATCTGATGTTACCAGGTCCCAGGGTAGGGTTCTTAATGTCTCTTGTAAACCATTAAAATCCCCTGATCTGTAACAATAAACTTTACGTTGAGCATTTCTTGGCCTTGTTTTCTTAACATGTAACTTGAATGTTAGAGGGTGCATGATGATCAGAGTCAAAGGCATTTGGATGCACCAAGACATCATCGACAAGAAACTCATCGTTGGTGAGCACAAGATCAAGGAGATCACAAAAGCATGTGAGAAGAACATGTAACTTTTATTAATCTCTCTGAAACACTGAACTTTACGATTTTTTTACC